TAAATTGTATGGCAAGTGAATTATATCTTCAAAAACAAACAGATAAATAAATGAATGCCTTTTTATTATTAATTTTTTTTTATGGGCAGATTATAACCCAGCTGATTTGTTCACCTTTCATCAACCATTATATCTTAGCTAAAATTGCCTAAGATTTTTGACCAATCTCTTGTCAGAGAACTGGAAATGTACTAGTTCCATTAAGAATATTTATACATTATTTTTTTCAAGAGGTTTATCTTGCAGACTTAGTCAATTATTATGTATCAATTTTGCTATTTTTAGCTCCAGAGGGTGGCCTCTTTGTATTATCCCCATAATATCCCTATTTCTTTATAGTTTTTCCTTATGTATTCACCACAAATAATGTGGACGTTTAGAAAAGATTAAAGACTTTATGCATGTCAAAGTTTGAAAAATAAATAGCTAAAAAAATCAAAAAAAAATAAATATAGCATTCAAATATCAAAAGAATGTTTTTATTCTTTATAGAAGATAAATTCAAAATGAAAAAATTATTAATAAAACTAAATTTTGGTTCTGTACAGCTAATATAAAAACAATTTATTCTGATTTAGCAACTATGATGTTTTCCTAAGAAAAATGTGTGAGCCTTTTAAGATAAATATTATACATGCTCTTTTATTTGCTTAATAACAGAAAATTTAAAAAAAATCTTTGTTACAACATATTGACTTGTAACTAAAAATCAAATGATTCAGTAGTGTCAAAAATAAGACTGAATCTAACCACACCTAGAATTTTCACTGTAATTTAGCAACTATGATGTTTTCCTAAGAAAAATGTGTGAGCCTTTTAAGATAAATATTATACATGCTCTTTTATTTGCTTAATAACAGAAAATTTAAAAAAAATCTTTGTTACAACATATTGACTTGTAACTAAAAATCAAATGATTCAGTAGTGTCAAAAATAAGACTGAATCTAACCACACCTAGAATTTTCACTGTAGGAAAGAAAAAATTGAAAGGCACACTCTAAACCAAAAAGAAAAAAAAACACTAAAACAAAATTGAAAAAAAAGAATGAATGAAAGGAAGAAAAGAAGGAAATAAAAAAGTATTATATAATATGTTATATAATAATTTTTATTATATTAAAGGGGGTTTATAATTTTTTCATTTCTTTGTTTTCTAAATTATCTGTAATTTAGAAAATTTGTTTTTCTCTTAAAAATGAATCTTAAAATGTGTCTCTTTAAAAATGTTCCAGTTTAGCATTTTTAAAGATGACTCATTTTGGAATTTAGGAAGAATAGTGTTTATTTACTAGGTATGTTTTGGGTAAGTCACATTTTTCTTTTCATAAGAGAGAACAAATCTGGATTTAGTGCTTCTTGAGGGCACTTCATTTTAGCAACCCTCAAAGCCTCTTCCTAATAGAGTATTTCAAGAACACTGGCTCTTTAATAAATGTGTCCAGTAGAAGCAATTATTTGTACAACTACTAATAGATAGCTAGTGGTGATAATGCCGAGAAACTTAGCTTATGTTTATAGAATCCACTGAGTTGGGTCACAAAATAGATTCATAGTTAGCTTTAACTATGCTCTAGATTTTCTCTTCTGAAGTGTATTATAGACAGTAATTAACTTCAAGCAACTGGATTATCTGTGACTTTTCTTTTCTTCTTGGTGTTTTTCTGGATTTCCAGATCTTCTACCCTAATCACGTATTGCATTCATAGTTAGAAAATAATAATGCCAGGACTTAAAAGCAAATAAATTAAGTCTATCATAGGTATAGCCTAGAAGAAGGAGTCCTCAAAGATTTGAAAAAGCCTATATTACTTTATAAAGGCAAGTCTGATGCCAGAACAAAACTGGTGTAGAGAGAACTGAATTCCATTTGTCACATTGTATTTTGTGTCCTGAGGATAAACTAACTGCCTGTGCCTTCATTTCCCCCTAGACAGGCACCATATACCTCACAAGTAAGGTAAAAATGACAATAATCTGGTAGACTGTGAGAAGAACATTTCAAAGGAAACTCACAATATTGAGGGTGTCATTGTTTCAGGGCTATAGAATCGTAGAATTCCAATGCCAGCCCTGGGATGATCTTAATAGGTCATCTGCTCTAAGCTCCTTCTTTTGCAGATGTCAACTAAAGTCAAGAGAAGTTCTGTCACTTACTTGAAGTTATAGAGCTACCTGGGTAAAGAAACCAGGAGCCACATCAATATGGTTTTCTTCTGAATTATTTAACACAGATGTTTTCTTTCCTTGTAGGAAACGTGCACTGAGGATTTTCATCATGTTTTATGTCCTCACCATTACTGGTCTTTCATGTTATATACTGTTTTTTGATGCTACATTTATCTTTGAAAGAGTGCTCCCTACAATGCTTGGGCGCCGTGGAATGTGGGAACTACGGGAAATTATCACGCCTTTCTTGAATTTAGAAGTGGAAGACTTGTTACCCTCCTAAAGATCCAGAAGTTGCTGTTACCCTATTGACTTTCTCTCCAATAAAATTCTGGCTGTTCTTGTATTACGGTGCTTAACTTATTTTGAAAATGTTATAGGGTGTTTTGCAAAAGATGTTGTAATTATGTGGAAATTAGTTGATCACAGACAGAAAACATGAAAACAGTTTATGTTTATCCTTATAACTCACAATGACTTCTTGCATCATTTTACACATTGTTTAAAATATTTACTTCAAACCACCAGTCTCTCTCCTCACTCAATCCAGAGGACATTGAGACTATCATATATTAGTTTACTTGGTTATTTCTCTCATTTTACTTCTGATGTCTCGGAAGAAAAAGCACAGAATTCCTCTCAGTCATTTCCAATTTTACTTCAATTGGATTGAGGCCATATTTTGGGTGTAGTGGACATTCGTTGGCTTTGTTCCCTAACATTTATTTATCTTTTTTTGTGATAGCACCCTAATTTTACTTTGAAAGAACTATCTTTCCCCAGTGAGCATGATTGTAGGTGGTCTTTCAGTCAATGTCCCTTGTTTTCCTCTTAACAAGAGATGAGAATATGCTGAATCAAACATTCCCCAAGAATGAGAATTTTGAGAATCATACAAAGAAGGGAAATAATTGGAATGTCAATTCTGTGAACTAGCGCATATCTTTTTCTGCTTAAGTTGGCAGAGTTGGTTCTGCTGCTTATAATAGTAATAATAATAATAATAATTAATAATAATAGTAATAAATGTCTAATTGATATAGCAGTTTTGAATGCCAGATTGGAGCATTTTCATCTCTAACTTTTTAGATAATGAGGAAATAGTAAACTTTATTTGCAGTATGAAAAACAATTATAATTGAACTATGCAAAATTAATAGAACCATAAAGGATAAATTGGAGTAGGAGGGCAGATGGAGTATGAGAGATCAGTGGTTCAGGTGAGCTAAAGAGGTGGAAATGGGAATGAAAAGGAGATGATGGGTGAAGTAGATATTGTTAAGGTGGATTTTATATTTGGGTGTATAATGGATGCGTGGGGTTGGACGGGTGGTGACGGGAGGTTATGGAACACGGTCTCAATTCTCCTCATATTTGAATGGATCTTGAAGGACAGATAATATTTTCAAGGTAGAGATGAAGAAAAGGTATTTTAGAGAAAAGACACATCATGAATTAAACAAGAGCCATAAATAAAAGGCAGTCAGAAAAGTTGGTAGAGCATATTGCTCAACATACCAGTTTGTACATTCCTTAAAAACAACCACTACACTTTATTTATTTTTGTGGTCTTTGGAACAGTGATTCCCAAATATTGCTCCATTGATGGTATGCATCAGAATCACTTGGAGAGCTCTATACATTAGTGATTTCCAATCCCTACTCCAGATACTTAGATTCGGAAAAGTTAACGTGGGGTTCAGGAAATTTATTTTTAAAAATCTCCCCAGCTGAATAGAATACAAATTCAAATTTGGGAACCATATCTTGGTACACTTTAGAACAACACTGTACACATAGTAGGTACTCAATAAATACTTGTTGAAGTAAATTAAATTATGTGTTCTTATCTTTGTGACCTCCTTATCACATCATCCAGTGCTACATTCAGTTTTTGTTCAATAATTTCCATCATAGTCGTTTTTCAAGAGCCCCCATTTTCTTAGTCCCTTGAAGTCATCTCCAACTCCTTAACTATCTTTTTGTTTTAACATTTTGGAAAACACTGGGTTCTTCCAATTCTTCCACAGCAATTTTCCCCAGACCACCCCCATTTTTTGTATTTATAATATTTCCATTCTGGTAGGCCTTTATCATACAAATAAATGTATTACTGCTGAGAAAAGCCAGCCTAATGTTTTAACTTTTCATTGACTGCTATTTACACATACAACTTTAAAAAAGAATCAACTCCAAATGCCACTTTTATCCTGATATTCTATAGCCAGAAAACTATATCAGTTGCTAGAAATGTGAAATATGCTTGTGAGTGGTTCTCAAGCTGTGATGTTTAACAGAATTCCACAAAGAGACATTTAATTATAATTATATATTTGTCCTCCAGAAATTCTGAATCTGTAGATCTAGGATGAATCTCTAATTAATCTTTTATTCGAATAGTTTTCCCTAATTCTTAGGACTCAAAGTTTAAGAGCTATCATGCTATGCTATGGGCAAAAGCTACCTGGAATTAAAAATTGACTGAGATCCCATGCAACGTTAATCAAGAAGTGACTAACTTTTGGGGAGGAGGGGGGGAGGCTGGAGATGGGCGAGGGAATTTCCAGGACACACAGAAAGGGAAAAAGCCAAAAGCTTTAGGAACAATGAGTAATATATTCAAAGGTCTTGTGATAGTGAGAGGATATGCTGACAGATTTTAAAAAGTCACAGTTAGACTGACTTACTGATGAAGGAACTATTCAGACCAAAGTAGATAGAACTTGGTATACATTTTTGATAATCTTTATGTAAATTCTCATTGCTGGATACAGTATCAGCTAATTTATTTGTAAAACCAAAAAAAAAGAGGTATTGAGTTTAAGTAGTTCAAAAAAAGCTAAAAGTCTTACAGTAATCATATAAACCTAGTGATGAAATAAGGTAGGGAACTAGACTTTTTTAAAGAATAAATTAATATTTTATTAATTTTCAAGATCTGTTTTATTAGGATTTTAACTAAAACAGAAAAATTTTCCCTGAGGGATAAATATCTTTAAAGTAGGAACAATACTATTTTCACATCGGGTTTTTTTTTTTTTTTTTTTTCAGTTTGTCACTATCCCAAGCTGGAAGGCTGGATATCACAATGTTCTACTCTACTGAAAGAGGGAAACATTTAGAAAAGTACTGCAATATTAAGCTAATATAAATGTCTACATGTGGTAATTCAGTTAACTGCTTCGGTTGGTTGGGTCTCATTTCAGATCTTTTAAATGCCATATTCAATTGAGTCAATGCCTATGCTCAAAGTCACTTACTAAAAATGTCAGAATCACTTTTCAAATATGGTCTTAATTTTGGACTAGGAGGAAAGAAAACGAGTAGTCCCAAAATCTCCATTTGTCATATCTTTTTTTTTTTTTTTTTTGAGTGAAGACAACTATGATGTAGTGAAAAGAGCTTTAAACTTGGATTAAAAGTTGAGTAAAAATAATCTGCCGTTACATTTTTTTTGGTGGTGGTGGTGGTGGGGTTATCTAATCCCCCTCCCTCCCAGGGCATCCGAGCACTCTTCCCCAGCTGCCCAGAGTGTTGGCTGCTGAGAGTTCACAGAGAGGATCCTCCCTTGGACTTGCCTTTGCTTAAAGAGACCTGTATAACCTAAAATTACTCTCCTTTCCCAAGGGTAACCTGCATTCATGATTGATCTAGGCCAGGGTACCTTTCTGAAGGGCTATCCCAGACTCAGAGATCCCCATGGGATTGGTTAAGTGCAAGTACGTCGCAACTTCTCCCTATGTTTTACGCACTATGTTAAGCACTTCACATATCTTTTTTGTTTAACCCTCACAATAACGTTATAAAGCAGGTATTGTTGTTATTCCCATTTTTATACATGAAGTAATCAAGGCACAGATTGGATAAGGAGCTTGTTCATTGTTTCACTATAAATGGTAGAGTCGGGATTTGAATCTAGATCTTTCTGGCTGTACTTCCTGTGGCCTTTTCATGTGCCACACAGCCTCCCAAAATTGGATTGCAAGCTCTGTGAGAGCAGGAACAGTGCCATATTAAGGCCTATATATTTAGCATCTAGTACATCACATAGATAGCAGGTGCTCAAAAAATATTCATTAATAAATCAATGAACTAACATTTATTAAGTGCCAAGTGCAGCTTCCACCAGTGCTTAAGCTTTCAGAGACACCACCTGCCACATTGCCCTTCTCTGGCATCACCTCTGCCATTGATCACTACTTCCAGGAGACAGACATATTTATGTACAGGCCATTAACATAGGCTTGGAATGGCCAATGGCCCACTTTTTACCCAAACTGTATGTGAGGCACCAGCGCCAAGCTACTGCAGGGGCTACAATCCTTTCTGTTTCCTCTACTTTGTCTACTCCCCAAACTGAATCCTCTCTAGAAGCTAAAGACATTTTGAAGTCCAGTTACTTCTGCTAATGCTCACGCCTCTCTGCACCAGGGAGTTTGGTTGACCCTCCCTGTCTCACTTTCCGGGCATGAAGCCCACAATGCCTGTCCCAATCTGGAAACTTGTGTTCCCTGTAGCTTCTGGCTGGTGAACTAGCCACATGCTCAAAAACCAGATTTAGTCCTGTGATTTTTTCCCCCTCTTTGGAAGAGCTTTCGCTACATGTGATTGATAAGTGAGCAAAGCAAATGATTGCATTACCTTGTTTAAAAGTAGAGGTTTCACAGTTGGGATGCTTTTGTCTGTAACAATATGTCAAAATAATATTGGCTTAAAGCATAAGGATATTTATTACTTTATGTAATGAAATATGTGCATCGAGGGTTGTTCCAGGGTTGGTTAATTAAACAGCTCAATGATGTCAGCCAGTACTTTGAATCACCTTATCTTTTATTCTCTTGGCTCTACTCATGGTCCCAAGATGGTTACTGTTGCTCCAAATGTCTTCATGTGACACAACATGCAACAGAAGAAAAGAAGGGGTGAGGGGATCTTTCCCAGAAGCTCCCAGCAGACTTCCTCTTGGGAACCATTGGCCAGACTAGATTACAGGCCACCAGAAGCTAATTACTGTTTGTGACCTGCCACCCTCCCCACTCCCCTGTACTTGTGAGCCAAAGCACAACGAACACTCACCCTGCCCAGCTGTCACCAATGAACTCTCTTCTTCAAAAGAAATTGGGTACCCAGCATACCTCGTTTGATTGTGCTTCGCTTTATTGCACTTCCTGCATGAGGTTTTTTTTTTAGGCGAGGCAACCCTTGGTTGACCTCACAGATTGCAAGGAATTTGTCAGCTTACAATCCTTAATTTTTTTATTTTTTATGCCTACAGCACCTGGT